ATCCATTCACCTCGGCCTCCCAAAGTGCTGGGATTACAGGCTGAGCCACTGAGCCCAGCCCCTCTTAAAATTTTTAACAGCTGCAGATTATTTTTAAAAATAGCTGTGGAATACTTGGAAGGCTGAGGCGGAAGGATCGCCGGAGCCCAGCAGGTCGAGGCTGCAGTGGCCGGGAGCAGCCACTGCACTCCAGTCTGGGTGACAGAGTGAGACTCCAACTCAAAAAAAAAAAAGCTGTGGAACCGCCCATTGCATGACCGTGCCATTTGTGTAATCAGTCCCTATTGATGGATGAGTAGATGGTTTCTAGTCTTTTGTTATTCCAAATAGTGCTACAATCAGTGCACCTGGATTTGGGTGTTGTTCTGTGAATGTCTCATCATACCTGTCTTTTTTCTTTATGTGGTAGATATTATTGGGCTTTTATGCCTGTATTTTATCCCATATCACAAAAAGGCCACAAAAGATTGTAATTGCCCAATTTTTAATTGGATCTAGAGGAATTTGAAAGGCTAGGAGAGGTTTTTATTTTTGTTTTTAAAGCAAGCTTTTCATGGGAGTATAACACACAGGAAGGTACCCACATCGTAACTGTGTTTCAGATGAGCTTTTATAAAGCCCACACCTCGTGTAACCAGCACCCAGCCTCTCAAGGATGGTACCGTCCTGACTCCTAGCACTTCTGGCGATCCTTCTGCCTCAGCCTTCCAAGTAGCTGGAACTACAGGCGCGCGCTACCACGCCCGGCTAATTTTTTGATTTATTGATTTTATTGATTTATTGGTTTTACCTGTCTTAGAACTTTAGGTAAATCTCTGTCCAACCTTTTTTTTTTTTTTTTTTTTTGAGTTAGAGTCTCACTCTCGCCCAGACTGGAGTGCAGTGGCCGCTCCCGGCCACCGCAGCCTCAACCTGCTGGGCTCCGGCGATCAGCGCCTCAGCCTTTCAAGTAGCTGGAATTACAGGCATGCGCCATCACGCCCGGCTGATTTTTAAATTTATTGTAGAGATGAGGTCTCACTGCCCAGGTGGGTCTCGAATCCGCGGGCTCAGGCAATCCACTCACCTCAGCCTCCCAAAGGCGCGGGATTACAGGCTGAGCCACTGAGCCCGGCTCTCTGTCT